GACAGTGAGAAGAAACTTCGTTTAGATTCGTGCGAATGAAAGTGTAACTCGGCGTTTCAGGTATCTGATAGCTTTCAAAAATTTACTGAGGAGCATCGAGAGCTTGGGTATTGCTTCCGTGTACGGAATCAATTACTTTGGACGCGGGATCCTTCTGGGGGACAATTACGTCAGCTATGTTCGCCACGAAGCTCTTGGACGTGATCTTCTTTCCGGATCTCTCACATACGTGCCTTCTCTCAAAAATTTTTACGCAGAGCTCACCCGCACCATGCCAGACTATGGAAGAATTAAATCTAGGTACGCAACGATCACGTTAAAAGAAACAAAAAAAAAATGCAAAGACACAGACTTTTTAAACAGTTAAGATTTTGTAAACAGTTAAAAAAAAAAAAAAAAAAAGAAAAATCTTTCGAAATCTAAGCATAACTTACGTACATAGAATGAGTGAGATGAAAAGTTGGAGCAAAGTCGGCATGTAAAATGCATGAAACAAGGGAGATAGGTTTGTTTGGGAAACGTGCGTTACAGACGAGATGAAATCCTCCAGAACCAGAAGAGGGAACCAAGTGTAGAGGATGCTATCGCTTATTTCGATTCAATGGCAACTTACGTGGACGAGCTGCGTAAACTTCAACGAGAATTACGTCACATGATTAGGTAAATATTCATTCGGTCGAATTAATTATGCCGTGAGCATTACATGCAGTGATAAGTTGTGTTACAAACAGGGATTATGTGAATTCAACTTTGCAAGACGCGAGTAACAAAGAAGTTGCTGGGATAGCTATAGTGGTGCTAGTGTTGGTCGTTTCCCCTATCATTATAATATTAGTACGTAATGCGGTTGCGACGATACAAGTAAGTGATTCGTTCTTCCTCATAATTCCAATATAAGATAACAATAAATTAGATTTAAAATTCAATTTATTCGCGTGGCGTTTTTCTAACATTTCGAGGAATGCTCAATCTTTTAAGCGAAAGAACGTATTTTATTGGTTCGGAGCATCGACAATTTCAATTAGGCGTGTGCACTTCCATTGCTTTCGATCGAATTTCATTACGACAGTACATATAATACTTTTACCTCGCTGCTGTGTGCGGCGAGAGATAATGAAATTAAAGACTGCTTTCATCACTGCTTCATCTCATTTTTTTTCTTAATCCCATCGCGCCGCTAACGATTCTAATTGGCGATAAAACAATTCCGCGTTCAGGTCAAATTGCTATTTTTTTTTCTTTTTTTTCTTCGTGCGTGAACTAAAATAGATGTTTCATTGGGGGATTTTAGATGTACGCGGCCAATTTAGCGCAAAAGGCACGGGAACTGAAGCAGGAAAAAGGGAAGAGCGACACGTTGCTCTTTCAAATGTTGCCGCCTAGCGTTGCTCAACAACTGAAGCAAACTCAACAGGTAATTCATAATTAAGAAATAATTACCTGCTCGAAGAAATATCAAAAATACATTGTTGATCTACAAGATTTTTTTTTTTTTTTCGTCTCGCAGGTTCCAGCGGAATATTACGAAGCGGTAACCGTGTACTTCAGCGACATCGTTGGATTCACAGAGATCGCTGCAGAAAACACTCCCTTGGAAGTAAAATTCTTTCCTACCGTGTACAAAGTTATTTATACTCGCAATTTATTTGCAATTTTCTAATTGTTGCCCTCTTCTCAAAAGGTTGTCACCTTCCTAAATTCCATCTACAAGTTGTTCGACGCGCGTATCGAATGTTACGATGTGTACAAAGTTGAAACCATTGGCGATTCGTACATGGTTGCCTCTGGCCTGCCCGTTAGAAACGGTAAGGCACCTTTCGTTAATCAGGTTAATCTTCCTTATCTTTCTTTTACTTTATTGGAGTTTATTTATTTATTTATTTTTTTTTTTTTTTTTTTAAAGGAGACAAACATGTGTCTGAAATAGCGACAATGGCCCTCGATCTCCTGGCAGCCTCGTCGGTATTCCAAGTACCGAAACGACCCGGAGAACGTCTTCAAATACGAAGTGGTGCCCACACAGGGCCGGTAGTCGCTGGGATCGTGGGAAGCAAAATGCCTCGTTATTGTCTCTTTGGGGATACTGTGAATACAGCCAGTCGTATGGAATCAACCGGAGAAGGTATATCCGAGTTCTCTCTCTCTCTCTCTCTCTCTCTCTTTTGTTTCTTCATATTTAAATACACGTGTTTCCCTTCACGTCTTAATTTCAATTGTAATTTATTTTACACGAAGCTCTACGAATACACATCAGCCTAGAAATGAAGAAGGCTCTGGACGCTGTAGGAGGTTTCAAAATCGTGCATCGTGGCTTGGTGGATGTCAAGGTGAATGTTTCGTGTAAAATTCAGATTGCTGTAAAGGCACGTGTAGTTGCGCGTGTACGAATGAAATTAATTTTCACAGGGGAAGGGACTGATGGACACCTACTGGCTGGAATGCAAAGACGGTGGAATCGCACGTGCAGCGGAATTAGATCTGCCATCGTTCTTCGAGGATGTGCGACCAGTTTTCATACGCCGTTTACGGGAGGAGGGTACACTTTGATGCGAGCCGTATTCCCGACGGGACCTCTGGTACCTGAACCGACCACCTACTCCTTATATCCGTCTTTCGCAACCGAATCTTATCGACCACTTGAAGAAACCCACTCAAGGTCGTAAGAACCGACTGTCCCACCCGAATCTTCACATTACTCCTGTGAAGCCACCCCCTCAGTCGCAGTCGAGCATCGAGTCGCAGGACTCGACGACGTACGAGGGGACTCAATCAACGACACCTTGTCCACCGAGTTATTCTCCCGCGAGTCAACGAAGTCGTTATTCCCAACCGAATCTGCCCACGCTCTTAATATCACACGATAAAAGATCCGGAGACCGGCGTATAAGAATGTCCCAGCCTACGTTGAACTCGAGCTTCAGCGGTATCAATTTCGTCGGGATGAATCGTAACTCCAGACTGTCTTACACTAGTCTTAGGGCAGCTTCTGGGGACAATAGCATTAACGAGGAGGAGAGGTTTTCAGCGCGAAGCGTGCAAGGCTTTGGCGGTGGAAGCTCGAGGGGAAGTTTAACGATGGATCAAGGTACCTCGAGATTGTCACAGCCAGACGTAACGAGATTCACCTTGCGCCAGGAGATATCGGCGAAGCGGGATCGACTTTCCCAGTCCACTTTAGTTATCGGTGATTACCACCCTGGTCGTGGCCAGCAGAGATTATCCCAACCATGCCTAAGCACAGGGAAAGATCTTAATTTGCCCACGATGGTTTTCCATTCTCCCTCTCCGCCGCCCGTGAAGCACAAGAGATTCTCCCCTGCCATACACGCCAGCCAGAGGGACCGTCTGTCGCAGTTGGACATTGGTGCTAAATACAGAAATTTCAAAGAGTCCGCTGTGACGAAATTCAATCGGGACAGATTCTCAATACCGGAACTGGAGACGCAGAACGATCTTAAGCTGATAGCTGGCACGCCGAAGCAACGATTCAGTTTGGACAGTCAATTGACTCGTAACCAGGATGCGACTCGGTCCAGACTATTGCCGATAGCCAGTTCACCCATCAGTGAACATCAACAGCCCAAGATCGAGGAGCAGACAACAATCTCTGCCGGCAAACTTAAGAGCCCCACCAGAGAAGGCCTTGGAAGTGTACTCGTGGCGAGTACAACTCCAATTCTACCACCAAATGAAAGACAATTGTTGTCAACCGAATTGAACAAAATAGCGACAGCGGTCAGCTCGACGCCGTCGGCTACGAGGCAACAGAAAAGTCAAAGGACAACGCTTAGGACAAACAAGCTTCATAGATCGGTCTCGCCGATTCCCACCAGGGAAAGAATGTCGGTGCCCGAGATAAGAAATTCGAGTCTCCGTCGATTGCTCGATCCACCGATGAGGCAAAGACACAGCATCACGGGCAACCTGAGACAGAGCATAATCTCCCCGATCAAACCCCTCGACTTTGGCAGAAAGTCGCCGAAGCATTTGTTCGAAGAGGCTTTGGAAAGATTCTGGAAGGACGAGAAAGATGAGAATCGAAAGAACGAGATGTCGAATTCGCAGACCATCGCCGACATTGCCGACGAACCTAAACACATTCAGAAACATTACTCGTACACGTACGAGACGGACGACAGTTCCTCGATACTTGGAAAGATAAGCATGTCCGCGATACCAAAGAAGAAATATTTGGAGAGTAATTTCGATGAGAACGAACAGGTGATCACTACGGTGATCGAAACCGACGTGCCAATGATAACGGCCAATCCGAAGTACGTGAAGAAATCGTCGTACTCGAGCGAGACCCCGAAGTGGATTAGAAAATATTTGGAAAGCGAAAGCCCGAGAGTAGGAAGGAAGATGACGAGCAACAAAGAGAAATCTAACAGAAGGAACAGTCGGAGGAAAAGCTCTTTGGAATCGGTGGAAGGCGAGAAAATTACAGACAAAGTTCGTTCGAAGTCGGTGAGCAGCGGTGAAAGGAGCCCGATGCTAAGGAACACCGGCATACAGTCCGAGTTGAAGAACATGAAGAACACATACGTGAGGATCGTATCCTCGAATAAAACTCAAGAGAACAGGTACGAGGTAAAGATAGAGGACAACTGGATCCACGAGAACAATCACGGATTGTATGACGATGAATGCGACGATACGGATTCCGACGACTCCACGTCCATTTAAATTGAAAACTAACGATACTAACGATAACGATCAAACAGATAAAGCAAGGAAAATAAATTTGTCCAACTGGATCTATAATGATGTTTATAAATTTGAGAGAATTGAAAAATAAATTCATATTCTGTACTTAAACCATTCAAATGCTACGAATTTTATGAAAATTAATATTCACTGGTTACCAGTCCGAAAGACCATTCGTAACAGGTAACAGTTTGATTAGCCTAAAGCACAAAGCCTTGAGAACGAAATAACGAAAACTGACATGCACGATCTCAAGTATTTTTTTTCATGTACGCCATGAACTAACAATTGTAATCGATAAAGATCAACCAAAGAAAAAAATTATATTTATAACGATGATAACTTTTGGATCTCAATGTATTATTTTCATTCGAACTCGAAGAGCGTTCTTTTTTTTATCCGAATCAAATTAAGATAATTTGTAAATACTCGAATTATATTCAGTTGTGCTTATTGCAAGATGTATAGTCAACAAATTTTAGAGAAATCCCAGACATCAGTCTCTATTTTATTTTTATTGTTATTCATAATATAAAAGTTTGTGACGCTTACTGCTGTGAGTGAGAGGTCAATGAAAACATATTTTAGCTATTATTAACACCTCAGATACCATAAACCGTACGAAATGTACATCTTCTCGTCAATATACCACCAACATTAAATTCCCATGATTTTACGAGTATGAGTGTTGGAAAATTTATATATTTTTTTTTTTTTTCTATACTAGTCATCGATGAGATTCACGTGTGAATGCCGTCTCAAATTCCTATTAATGAAATTTAAGCCTTATAAAAATAATACAAAAGGCTTCGTTTTTCGCATGAACGTTACATATACATATACATATACATATACATATACATATATATATATATATATATATATATATTGATATGTATTATAATTATGTTATGATATTATAACAGTAAAATAATTGATGTAATGTTATAATATTGTAAACTCGGCGTGTATGTAATATTGCGGTCGTGAGTGTGTAACTTAGTTATCGTTTATCGTGAACATAAAAATGTTACTTCTTTATGTGTCATTTAATATTACGATTAAAAATGTTATACTAAAGATGTAATCATCAAAGTGAAAAGTATATAAAATGTATTTAATTTGTAACAAATATGGGTGCAGCCTTATCTTTCATAAAGTTAATACTTTCAAAAAGAAAAATGAATGAAAGAAATTTTGAAATACTTCAGCACATTTCTACCGAAATGTGTGTATTATAAAAATTCCTGTATGTATATACATCAAGTCACATTTTATAGTCTCTTCCCAAAATTTGAAAAATACATGCAAGAAATTTTATCCAAATAACGCAAATAAACATGCATCACAGGTATTGTAGGTAACATAAAATATCTTAAATTTACATATCTATATTATCTTGAATGAATTATAATAATTGAATTCTCTTTTCATTAATGAAAAAATTGTACATTTAAATCTAGTTTCATAAGAAACATTACATCATAATTTATAAGTGATGAAAAATTAAGACTAGGCCGTGAAAACATAAGCAATTTATAGTTTTGAATATAAAATGTCATCAGATAACAACTTTGTTGCGAAGGCGATGTTCCTTTAAGCACGGCATAGAACAGAAACGATTGGAATTATACTCAAAAGGAACTTGACCTGCCATATCTACACCACATTGAAAACATCGTGAAATCATAATGCAGCCTTGTTTTAGAATACGTTGTTCTGCAGCCAAAGCTCTCTACAATAATATTTATTAATATTTATTAGGACGAGTTTAGGATTTATTAATACTAAATAACAATGCAATTATTCTTTGAAGTATGTACCTTTTCTCTGTCACTGAGATTCAGATACCTTTGTTTTGCATCTTCTTCTCGCTTTTTCAGTTCAAATTCTTTTTTCTTTACTTTATCTTTTTCTCGTTTTATTTTTTTTTGTTGTTTCTTTTTTTCTAGTTCTTCTTGTTCTATTTCGTCAGTAAGCGGGCCAGGTATTTGAGACTTTATAACAGATACATGTTATTATATACGTAATATTATTTTAGTAATATTATTTTATAAAAATAGAAAATTATAACAGTAAATACTTTGCTATAATTGAATTTGTCAGGATTGGCACCCATAAATCTTCTGAACATATTCCTGGTTTCCTTATCATTTGCCGCAGCGTATGGTGTTTGTAGTTTCTTATTTTTATTACAAGGATCTGATCCAACTTCCATTAATTGCCTAAAACCGAAAAATTTTATAAAAATTTTGTTAGATAAAAGAATAGTTATATTGATGATATGTCAACATACCATACTAATTTTAGGTGTCCACCCAAAGCTGCTACATGTAACATTGTATTACCATCTTCATTAGGATCATTTACCAATTTCGTCATATCATCTTTGTTTATAACTGAATTACAACTTACAGTTACGTCTTCCTTATTTTCTAATTTATTTTCTAACTCTACACTCTTTTTTATTTCAATCAACAAATCATTAATAACAGATGACAATAATTCATCGTCACCTAATTTACATGCAGACCATAGTTTAACTTTAGCATTGGTTAACGTTTCGTTTAGTACGCATTCTGGAAAAGCATATTTTTGTATATGTAGCAAAATATAATTATTAAAAATTAAATTATATATATACATATATATACAAGTATTCACACACAAACACACACACACACACACACACACAAAAGTATTCACCATCTTTCTTAGCCTTTTTTCTTTGACGACGAATTTTCTTATTTTTCATATATCTTGGCACAGTATCTTGAAAAGCGAGTAAATTTTCATTAAATTCTATTTCTAATTCCTGTTCAATTAATGAAACAATTGGAATATTAGGAGTGCTTATTTGACTATCCAATTCTGATTCTGAAGATGATTGTGCCAACCTGGCAACAATGTCTGAAACGTAAGATCAAATGAAGATTTACTTAATTATTTACTTAACTATTTAATTATGTATTTTGTATTCAAAATATTTTAATTTACCGGGTAAAGGACGACATGGACTTTTTCTTGGTTTTGCTCTATCTATGTGAGATCGAGAATTTTTATGTTGTCTTTCGGGAGATGGTTGAACAGAAACTTTATTCTTCTCGCTATCTTGTAAATTACACGTGCTATTGGTAGCATCATATTCTACATTTTCAACTAAAATTTCGCCGGATCCATCAGTTTTTGAAACTTTTTTCCTAAGAGGTTGACGTGGTGAAATAGGAAAAGAGTCTGTAAAATCAGATGCAGAACCTATAACATACACCATTAATATGTAAAATTAGTACAAATATTTAGAGTACAATATTTAGAGTGTAAAATTAGTACAAATATTATCAAAATCGTACCATAAATTTCCATGGAACTTAAAACATCATACACTCTTTTAACTTCACTAAATGTTGCTCTACGAGTAGGGAAAGGTAGCGGTCTTAATCTTAAGTCATTCTTATCTAAAGGTGGATTTTTTCCTCCAAATAACACAGTACGATTATATGGACCAACCGCTCTATATAAAATTAAAGAGGAATTATTGATATGAAATGACCACGATTCAAGTATATCTTGCACATGCTGAAAATAAATATAATTAATGAAATAAAAATAGTTTCTATTCTAGTCATAAAAATAGTTTCTATTTAAATTTATAAATTAAATACCTGAAGAAGAGATACTTCATTATAACGACGCAAACTAGCTCCAGCACTCTTTGCATGATTAGTTACTGTACGTGAACTTTGAGCAAAACCTTGTTTTGCACGTACAGTATAAGAATGAAATGTTTTGTGTACAATAGGTTCCCCATCTAAAACAAAAAAAAAAATTTATTTATAATTTCAGTACTCAAAATACTTATTTACATATTAAAACAAATACTTTGGAATACAGCTGCAGCAAAATGTCCTCCTCCAATCATGATGACAGTCCACGTTGTTTCTTTTCCACTGTTCAATGCCTGAGTAATCATATCATTGTCTACCTCTGGAATATCCTAAAATGTAATTGCATCTCTCCTGATCTGGCAAGTATAGACATGCCAAGTGATTCTAACAAAGTAGATCAAATTACAAAATAACAATACACAAGCATGTCTACACTTAGAGAGAAATCATAAAACCATATCCTTCGAGCATTATAAATAAACAGACCTTCTTATTGTGAAGTAAACACCTGTATATACTAAATATATTTCCATCATCATTTTCAAAAAATACTTTTGAATGACGACTCGCAGTAATCAATAAAGCCTCAACTTTCTTCTCTTTGATGATATCATCAGAATATTCTGTGTCAGAACTATCAGAAACTGATTCTACATTTTTTCCTTTTTTTTCAATTTTCTTGTTCTTAATGAAAATTTTAGTCTCACAATGTCCACTCCCTGCTTCTGAGGTCTCGTCTTCATTTTCAGAATCTACATCACTTCCAGATAAGCTTGAAACATTGCCTACAATGTGTTAACATTAATAAGTTTTTCATATTAAATGTCAGAATTATGCAAAATATTCAATAATAATTCCTTGAATACCTTCATCAGCTAAGAGACTAAATTTATCTTCATTGATAGGTTTTAATCCATTTAAACGCTGTTTTAAATTGTACCGATGCCAATCTAATTTATAGTGAAGTCTTTGCTGTGTCTTATTTTCAAATACAGTGTTGCAAAATGAACAACTTAAGGAGTCAGATATAACTAAATCATCAAGTTGACTTAGCGTCCTCTCATTTTCTGAAACTAATATAAAAATAGTGCTTTTAAAATAGTGCTCATAAATTCATTTCATGTTATCAACTAATCATTTATGATTTTCGAATTCCTAAAATTAATTCTTACTCTAACCTCAAAAACGTAATTTCTGTGATTTGTAATTCTAAAACATCATTCAATTCGTAATTAAATAACAGACAAGTGAAATGGTTAGAATAAATATTTCCAGTTATCAAATATATAAATATATAATATATAAATAAATAATAATTCTAATAGTAAGCGTTCACTTACGAACGTAATTCCCATCAATTTAACGTTTAAATAAAAAAGAATATTCTGAATATAATTACCAGATGACGATCGCGATTGCATGCATTGTGCCACTTTGATACCTCTTGTAATTCTGTTAAAGTCTTCCTGATTGTATATTTTAAATATCTGATGATCCATCGTTTACGTTATTTAAGCGTCTAAGCAAAACTGACACACGGCTAAAAAAAAGTAAACCACAATTGTCGATTAAACAAAGAAAAAAATATATGAAAAATTCTAATTTTAAAAAAAGACGATACCAGAATATTACTGATTACTCAACAACGGAGTAGAACCACAAAGTTCTACTAACTTTTTCACATACATATGTGCTTCTCTTCGCGACTATTGTATGTTAGTAACGGCTTATTCAATTTGGTACCCGATACCATTTATTGAAATAGAAAACAGTAACTTTTTTTAATAACATTAAAATAAAATCGTAATGATACAAATGGAACATATACTTCTAATTTTATCAAATACGTACACGCAACTAAATTATTTTATTACGTTATATGATATTCTATTTTGATTTAATCCTGATGATTACATCACCAAATATATTATCTTTGATGCATGTATCGTGATTAGCGTAAATTTACGTTTAAATGACGTTTAAATTTTTATTGTAAATGGAGAAAAAAGTTATTTCATATACATATGGATTCTATAAAAGTTTGAATAATTTCACAGGTCAGGTACAGAATATATATATTTAACGTCCTCTTTACTTCACAAAACATATAGATATAGATTTCCTAAACATGTGTTTCAATCTAATAAATAAAAGTTGCAAATTTTTATATGTACATTTCGCACGTTAAATAGAACAATAGAAAGAAAGCTGAAAATCAAATTTGTAGAATGCAATTAAGAAAATTTACAATTTTTTGTTGTAATTAGTCTTTTTTTTCTTTTGCAAATGAAAATTTGTTCAGTCACTAGCGCTACGTAGCGGTGAAACAGTTTAACAGAATTAAATTCATGATATAATTTCTTCCGCGACCATCTATTGGAAGATGTTATTTTTTTTGGTTTCAACTGAAAACAAATGAAATGTTGCCATCTATTAGACAAAGAAATTACAAAAAATGACTTGCTTCAATAGATGGCAGCACTTCATTCTGCTGAATAGCAAGTAGATAATGTAGACACTTTCTTTAACGATCAAATCCAATTACTGCTTTATCAACTATATTAATTATTTCACTCTTTTTTTAAATTATTTTATTACATTATACATTTTATTAAATTAAATTATTTAATTATTTTTAATTATTCTTCTGATAAATGGTTAGTTAGATACTGGAATTGATGGAACTTTTATATCGTCAAAAATCTTTCTTATCAACATTGTTGTTTACTATTTTTATTAATTTAAAAATTTATATGGTGGGATATGAATAAGCATTGGATGTCCGATTTATCCTCATATAGCTCATATACGTCGTTGTGACTGTGAGACGACGGCACACATAGAAAGCCGTCGATAATCTTCGATGGACAATTGAGATTGTCAATAGTTTCCACAACTGTCGACAGATGGCATTACGCAGCGAGTTTATGCCGTAAAGAATCAAAAATGTCTGTCACGTATGATTTCAGTTCGAGATCCGTATAGTCCACGGGCTGACGCGACTGGCGTACAGATTTTCCCCTCCGTTATGAGAAATGTTTAATTGGAGTTCGCGATTGTCTGTGCGCGCGTCCACAACGAAAAATGCGGAATTTCCACGGTCGCCGCATCTAGTAACGCGTGCGCATTCAGTATATTTGCGTATTGAAAAATCATAGCCCCCCATATCGCCTAATAGTTTCGGCCTAATCCCACCAATTTCTCGTTGATTTCTTTGATAAAGTTTTGTTTTCTGTGTTTTCACATCCCACAGAGCCGCACAATACTAAAGGATCGAGATGTCCGACGATACGAGTGTACGCGTTGCTGTACGGTAAGTTCAAGTTCCCATCAAAACGGGGTAATTCGTCGAAATATTTTTTTTTTTAAGAGATGATCCGTCGTGCAGGCTACATTGACGCGAATTAACAAGAAGACGTACGTGGTGACAGTTTACGACGTTGTCACGATTTAGTAATTAATAACTTTAAAATTCGCGGGAAGTATCATTTGAATTTAAAATTTGAAAATTTCACTTCTTTATGCTTGTGTCGCTTTAATAACATTCACTCGATTTACGCGTACTGTTGCAAATACATGCGTTTTTCCCCCCTAATAAATAATCTGTCCACGCAGATAGATTATTTCTTTCAATTGGAATTTTATTGTTAACGATAATTAAAATTGCGAGATACATTGACTGTTGTTACACTTTCATGATTTTAGAAAATTCCATTATTTAGACCGTTTCGAAGTGGTTGTAGATTTCACTGAATGTTCTTAATAAAACAGTTACACAAATCAATTGTCGACATGGACGCGTTATTTCTGAATATATGTAGTTCTTTGGTAATCTTTAAAAAATTATACTCTACTAGAGAAAAAAAAAAAAGAAAAAAAAATGTATACATACGTAAAAATAATATTTTCCCCCCGTTTCGTATGAAAATATTATACATAAAAATATTTTCATATCTACCTGTTACTGACGGAATTATTTCGTAGTTAAAATGATATCGCCAACATTGTTTTTTTGCGCAGCATTGCACTACGTGTTTTAATCACATAATATCTCCTTTTAAAGAATCGGATGCGTAGGCTTCATTACCGGTTGTGTAATAAATGTACATCTCGATTTCTGATGGATGAATTTTACTTCTCTCCACCACATTCCCTTCGTTCAACTTCCATCTGTTTTTATTAATTATTTCTACTTTTATCCATGTAGTCTTCCTTATTTGAATTTTGAAGTTTCAAAGTCATTTTTTTTTAACTGTATTTTTCAAGCATTTTATTATGTTGTACTCCTTTCTATCCATCGCGCTGGATTATTGGGGTAACAGCTGACTCAGTTATATTTTAAACGTAACTTTAACTTATTGTTAGTAGATTATATATGAATGATGTCAATTACATTTTAAATGTAACTTTGACTTAGTGAAGTATATTTGAATAAAAATAATTTATGCATAAAAAATAAACATTATATTTACTGTTTCTTTTTTATATCTATAATACAATTTCAAATATTTTTTTTATTAAGGAATATTGTTAATTTATAATTTATTGCTATTAATTAATTGCAGAATAAGGCCTCAAGTAGCACGTGAAGTAATTGACATGTGTAGAATTTGTACTCAAGTACCTCTGGGAGAACCCCAAGTCTTTCTTGGACCAGACAAGGCCTTTACATACGATTATGTATTTGATACTGGTATTGGACAAAGCACAATTTACGAAACATGTGTCGCACGTTTGGTAGAAGGTGCATTAGATGGATATAATGCAACTGTTCTTGCATATGGCCAAACTGGCTCTGGTAAAACTTATACTATGGGTACTGGATTTGATGTGGAAGTAGATGAAACTGTGATTGGAATTATTCCAAGAGCTATTAGACATTTATTCAATGGTATTGTTGAGAAACAACAGCATGCTAGAGAACGTGCACAAATGCCTCCTGAATTTAAGGTTGGCAAAGAAATAGTTTTATGTACAGTTTTAAATCGATATTCACTTCGATGAGATTGAAAGTGAGATTTAATATCTCATAAAAAGAATATTTCTCCTATATAAATTATTTTCTTTGTGTGTTACAATAGATTACAGCACAATTTTTAGAATTGTATAATGAGGATTTGAAAGATTTACTAGGACCTGGTGGTCCTAGAGGTGGTGCTCGTATTCATGAAGATCCCTCAGGCAATATTCATTTAGCTGGAGTAGAACCACGAATTGTTACTAATCCAGAGGAAGCGTTAGAATACTTAAGATTGGGAGCATTGTCACGTACAACCGGATCTACCCAAATGAATACTCAGTCATCAAGATCACATGCAATATTTACTCTATATATAAAACAGCAGAGATACATAAAAGTTGAAGATCCAGATGCTGATGTTGATACAAGTGGCTCTGAACCTGCCAGTGAATTTGAAACTTTGACTGCAAAATTTCATTTCGTAGATTTAGCTGGATCAGAAAGGCTGAAAAGAACTGGTGCTACAGGAGATAGAGCAAAAGAGGGGATTTCTATAAATTGTGGATTGGTAATGCGCTGATAATTCTTTAAGAGAATTATACAGTATTGTAATCACCAATGTCATTAATTACTTTATACATTATAGTTGGCTCTAGGTAATGTAATTTCTGCACTTGGTGATAAAACAAAAAGAGCTTTACATGTACCATACAGAGATTCAAAGCTAACAAGGCTGCTCCAAGATTCACTAGGAGGTAATAAAATATTAAATGCATGTAAACTATATTTTATTTTATTTTTATTGTATTAGACCATTAATTAACATTTGTAATGTATAATGATCATAGGTAATAGTCAAACTGTTATGATAGCCTGTGTGTCACCAAGTGATAGAGATTTTATGGAAACTTTAAGTACTTTGAAATATGCAAATAGAGCAAGAAATATAAAGAACAAAGTTACAATTAATCAGGATAAGAGTTCAAGAACAATTGCTTCACTTAGAAGAGAAATACAGCAGCTTCAACTAGAATTAATGGAATATAGACAAGGTAAATGTATAAAATATAAGATATATAATATAGATTTTCATAATATGTAAAACATTTTATTATTTATTAAACTATTTATTATTTATTTCTTTTTAGGCAAAAGAGTTGTTGGTGAAGACGGTATAAACGATGCTTGGCATGAAAATCAAATGTTGAATAGTGAATTGCAAAGCCTTCGTACCAGAGTGAAAGCCCTTTCAGAAACAGTTGACGCATTGACAGCGAAAAATGTTCTTCTGCAGGCAGAAAAAGCTGCTGGTCAATGGATATCATCATCTAATGAAAATCCAGAAGTGACTAGCTTAATACAGGGATACTTGCAAGAAATAGAAGAGTTAAGAGCTCGTCTTTTAGAAGCAGAAGCTATGTATCAACAATTAAAGAAACGACAAATACAGGTATAATGGCATGTATATATTGTTACGCCGACATGAAGTTGGTACATCGACTGAAGATACTCCCTCGATTATGAATATCGATGTATTGATCGGCCGGTCGTTTCGTTGGCGACCGTTTAAATAAAAAGTCGCTTTCTGACTACCGAACTGTGTAGATGTTCGGAAGGTGTAGTCCATGTAAATAAAGTTTTATTTGTACAAAAGATATTAGTTGATTTTCCGATGATGTCGAAACGGACCTCCGCAAGACGTAACAATATTATTAATCAGAATAATAATTGATTCCCTAATAGTATTTTAATTTACACAGGTTAATGCAGCTAATCCCTATGGTGATTCTGGATATATATTCCATAGTGATTCTACGTCAGTATTAAACGATGCTAAGAAAGAATTACAAAAAGAAATTGAAACATTGACTGCATTAAAGGAACAGCATGGACACACTTCTAATATCATTGGTAAAACAGGAGATGAAACAGAAGGTGATGATGCAGAAGCAGGCCAGGATTCTGTAAGCGAAGACGATTCAGATGATGACTCTGATAGAAAAGGTATGTGTGTGTGTGTGTGTGTGTGTGTGTGTGTGTGTGTGTGTGTGTGTGTATTTTATAATTTTATTGTTATATTTTTAATATTATTATGGTATTTTAAGAAAATGCGTAAATGTAATGTTTTGCAGAAGAAGATGAAGAAGAGGCAGCTATGGGTCGTGAATTGGAAGCTTTAACATCAGACATTGATGTAAAACAACGATTAATCCAAGAACTCGAATTTTCTCAACGACGTTTACAAACTATGAAGCAACATTATGAAGATAAACTTGCTCAATTACAAGCTCGAATCAGAGATACTCAGGAAGAAAGAGACAAGGTGCTACAATCACTACAGCAGCAGCCAACACCACCGACAGAAAAAGTAAAAAAATTACGCGATGAATATGAAAAAAAACTTTCTGCGATGCAAAAAGAAGTGCGACTTCTCCAATCTGCAAAGAAAGAACATGCGAGGCTACTTAAGAGTCAGTCTCAAAATGAAAATAGGTTAAGAGGACTACGAAATGAATTGGCAGAGATGAAGCGAGCAAAAGTAAAACTTTTGAATAAAATGCGCGAGGAAGCGCAGAGACACAAAGAAAATGAGTTGAGACGTAATAGAGAAATAGCACAATTGCGTAAGGAAAGTAGAAAGAATGCAAATATGATTCGAACGCTTGAGGCAGATAAGAGAATGAAAGAAGTAGTGCTTAGACGTAAACAAGAAGAAGTTTCAGCATTAAGAAAACGAGACAGAGGTCTAAGTCAAAAAGCTGCGGGTAGGGCACCACCTAAACCAATTAATCCAAAAGCATTAAAACAAAGATGGCAAACATTTGAAAGAACTATCGCTAAACAAGCATTAGCTAAGCAAGCAGCGGCGGAAACGGAGAGAGAAATGGAAAGACTTCTTCAAGAACGAGAAGAACTAGGTAGAGAACTTGAAAAGCTTCAAAAACACAGAAATACTATAGCAGCTTCGAGAGGCGACACGGCCGATATAGATGAAGAAATTGATAACGTGAGAAGTAAAATTAGCTATTTACAGGTAACTTTTTTTTCTTATATTAGTAAGGCTAATGTTACTTTGTTCTTTAAGTTATTTTTTACAGGATAGTATCTCTGAATGTCAACGTGACATGATGGAAATGGGAGATGGAGAAGCTGAAGGCGAACCTGGTGTTGAAGCTCTCATATCGACGATTCAGTCGGTAGATGAAGCTCAATATTTGTTACAAAGAATGTTAGCTTTTACTGTTGAGCAAAGTTGCGTGGCTGCTCAAAAACAGCTTGAAGTTCGCGATATGGAATCGAGATTAAATCAGGTAGCACAAGAAAGTGATGTGCAACATCAGTTATTGGAGCATGTGTTGCGAGATAGAGATCTTTTATCGCTTACAAATAATCATCATAGTACAATGAATTATAGTCCACCCAGTTCTAGGAGTTCGTCACCAGATAAGTAAGTTATATGTTATTTTTTGATATTTTTTAGCAATATGAGCAGCGTATGTATTTAATTTGAAATATTAGTGAAAATTATAGTCAAGTTATAGTCGGGGAAGAAAAGCAACGTAACAATAAAGTAAGGCGAAGGACTACACAACCCCAGGAGCTTCTTTATGGAGTTCAAGCTAATCCAGATAATTTAAAGACAGAGGAACAAAGTCAAAATCATAATCATCCACTTACAAGAGTACCTAGTGCGCCTGGTAGCTTAAAGTAAGAATAGTTATTCTCTAATAACTTTTAGTCATATAATATCGAATATAAAATCAAAATTTTTCTTTTATAAGAGGATTGGTCTTTACTAGAAGTCATGGTAATATAGCTGGTGGATCCCCAACTCTGAGTCGACGTGATAGTACATCACCAAGGCCGCTGCGACGACCACTTCATCCTGGTGGAGGCTCCATGTGAGTGATAATCCTCCAGCACGTCTTAATTTTTATATTCTTTGTATATCTTTGTCTTGATGCCTTATTTCATGCACTATTGGTTGAATTCCTTTCTTAAAAAGATCTGTATCATTCTCAACAAGTGCATTTATTGATATTTTTATCATGAGATTTTAATTTGTTTTGAACCGTAATCAACAAAAATAAATCAGTCATATAATTTCTTTTGGTATAAATATTATAATACAAAGACAGTATCATTAAGATATAAGAAAATATGTATTAAGGAAACTAATATACTTTATTAATTAAATAATTATTTCTTTTGTTTCTATATTTTGTTTATACAAATTTATTTTAAACTAATAATTTAAAATGTAAGATGACTAATATAGAAATTGTTACATTAAGAAGGAAGATATAATTTGTACAAAATTTTATATCTCACACAAAATGCATTTGACAGTTGTTTAGTTTTCGGGAAATTTGGTGATAATATTTTATTTATTGTTCTCACTCTAGGTACCTTGTAACGCTTGTTTTAATGCAAAGCAACCTATTTAATGTATTATATTTATATACATTTTTATTTCTCTCTAATATAAATATGTATAAATACTGCAAAAATTTCTATTTGTATAAAACATATTATTTCACAAAAAGATTACAAATTTGTATATATGTAAGCAGCTATTTTGTATACATGTCAATTAATAAATAAAAGCACAAACACTTAAGGTACACTCTCCTATGAAAATACTTTTAAAAAGTCCCTTGGCAGAAATTTTATTTATATTTCTTTGTACATTCTTTATAAAAAATCATAATGTTTATTTGTTATGATTATCTCATAAATTAATCATTACATCTTTTATTTGTTATGATTGTCTCATAAATTAATCATTACATCTTTTATTTTTCAAATATTAATGTGTAATATTTTCTTAAATTGTAATATGTTTAATGTTATACAGATTAATATATTTATAATTCAGCAACATTCTTATTAATTATATTAAATCAATTTGTAATTGTGCACTTGCATGATCCACGTTATCTTAAAAAAATATAGCTTATCCTGGATTAAAATTGACAAGATACCCGGCTAACTAACACGCTAACATAACAAACCCTCAACTAGGGAACAGGTAGCACATACAGATGTATCATCACCTCCTGGATCTCCGACTACATACCGACGATTCAACAGTCGAGAAGAAAATGTTTTCTCCAGGCTAACAGCAAGTAGACAACCAACATCAACAGATCCACAACCTATGAAAGGAATTATTTCTCAATATCAAGGCAAGGTAAATATAGTATAAATGCAGTGTTCTATCATTTGTACATGATATATATTTTTCTTAGACACAGCCACGAGCAGTTTTGCAATGCACTCATGTTGCTGAAGGTCATAGCAAAGCAGTATTGACGATATGTGCAACTTCTGATTTGCTTTTCAGCGGTTCAAAAGGTATTAAATATAAAACAAACATTTAACAACTTATAAACTTATGTGAATCTTTTTATTGATTATGTATATAATTTTTAGATCGAACTGTGAAAATATGGGATTTAGGGACAGGAATCGAAAATCTCACATTAACTGGTCATCCGAATAACGTCGTAGCAGTAAAATATTCACCAATGTATAATTTATTATTTAGTGTTTCTTCAGCATACGTGAAGGTCTGGGATTTGCGGGCAGGAAATAATTGCGTAAAAACTTTATTTTCATCTGGCCAAGCTCAAAGTGGACCAATTGCATTATCAACTCCATCTAGAGTACTTCAAGTTCCTGTTGGTGAAACAACTATTAATGATTTAGTCCTCAGCATAGACGAGCAAGAATTATATACCGCATCTAGTGATAAAGTCAGAATATGGGATCTCCGTAAATTGAGTCATACTGGAAGATTGAGTACACCACATACTGCAGCAGTAATGTGCTTGGCTGTCGCAGATGATGGTAGAGTAATAACAGGTAGTAAAGATCATCTGATATCTCTTGTTGAACCAAATACATCCGGACAATCGGTCAGTTTGGCACCTCCACATTACGACGGTGTTCAATGTTTAACAACTTATGAGTCAACATTGTTTTCTGGCAAGTTAAAATTAGTTTTCTTTAATGTTATGTTTAATACATTTAAAATATTTTTTAAATTTATAATTTTTAGGATCAAGGGACATGTGCATTAAACGATGGGACTTGAGTAGAATGGAATTAGTCCAGTCATTGAATAATGCTCATAAAGATTGGATCTTGGGTTTATGTATGATTAATAATGGATCTATAATGATATCTGGATGCCGAGGAGGTGTGTTAAAAGCCTGGTCTGTACCAAAGGATCAAGCAGAATGTACTCCAATAGGAGAAGTTCGAGCACACAGTACTGCTATCAATGCTGTAACGACTAATCAGCAACATGTTTTTACTGCAAGCAAGTAAGTATATTTTGGATTATTACTCATATTAAACTGACCCGAAGCATATTGGAAATATAAGCTGCAATATCGTAAAAATAAACTTTAAAAAATTGAATAGATAAATTATTTTAAGTTAATATCTGCTCGGGTTCAGTATATACCATAACTTTCTTGAATGGAATAACGTCTCAAATGTTGATTACAGCTCTGGAGAGGTGAAGCTGTGGCGTATTCCCGATTCCTCATTATCCATGTCTATTTCCACAGTTTCTCTTTAACTTATTTTTCTATTTTGCTGCATAATATTCTTTTGCATTTATAATTTGTTGATGTAGTAATGCGCATGCTTGTCCACTTTGCTGTTTTATGTGGACATGTTTGTCATAAACTTTATTAGACAAAGTTCTGACTTCTTAATTGTAAACATTTATAAAAACAAATAGTTGATTTGCTAACATTTACAATGGTTTCAAAATTATTACTTAATACAATGAAGGGATAAATCATAAAATAATAATAATTTTAACTTTCTGCTTCAAACGCTTTGATTTGTAATTATGTATTGTTCGGATGTAATGAAAATCGGAAATGCGCTTTAAATTTCTGTAAAATTATTTATTGACATTACACGTTAGATTTCTTATTCTTTTTTTAATCAATTATCATCCATTTCTATGAAAGTTGCGTGTATCAAGTATTGCTTTTTGAAAGTATTTGTGCAAATTTTTAGTAAAAATTTATCACTATATAATGTGGTTGCAGTTATGAATGTATTCTGTGTAAAACATTTGTTTGATTGAATGAACTTGTAGTAGAAAATAATACTTCTGTCATAACCTTCAATTTGTATAGGTTAACAAATACGAAAATTTAATTTAATTTTTTGTATTACTTTGCTTCTATGTTGTTTACACTCCAATTTGGTGCTTTGCATGGTCACCATATCAACGAAGTGACGGAACGGTGAGACTGTGGAGCTATTATAAAAGAGATGCAAGAACTTTCCAAAGAAGCAACTCATTGAAAAGCTAATACATGCATACATTCATTGGGAATCTTGTATTTATTTTGTAACTATACTATTTTTTATTTATTTGTTAGTTTGTATTAATTTATAACATAATAGACAATTAATGTGAAAATTTGTAATGATAATGCACCTGACTATTGCCTGCTAATTTCGATATTTTATGTTTGGAATTATATATGGATGTATTGTTTGACTTTAAATATTTTATAACTTAACTTTCGCGTATACTGCCTTAATGAATATGAGCATTTAATATAGAATTTATAAATGTAATTTTTAAATAACAAGAAAGCATTTCTATAGCATATAGAAATATGAAGTCCAAAGATGTAATATTAAACAAAAATTGATTCAGCAAAAATTAAGTGCATTATCGGGAATTAAGTATAGAATTTAAACAAATTTACTTAATAAGAAGAAGTTTGGTATTATCTAGCATTTATTTTATTATGAACATAAAGGTGGTAATAATCATAATATATACTCTTAGTATGAACAATAATTGTTGGTTAATACTGTACAGTCTGAGGTCTCTGTAGGTCCCATATGCTTGATATTGTCAGGGTTGGCTATTATTTAGTTTTCTTCTAAAAATTTAAAAACAGTATTATGTCTAATTATAATTGCAAAAAAATAAATAGACTAATAATAATATTAAACGTGGGTTTCTTTCAATTCAAAAAATATATATAACAATAAATATATACCTCTTCTTCTTTTTATGTGTTGTCAATGATTCTTGACCACTATCGTCGGCACTGTCTTCTGATTGACTACTACTACTACTACTTGAAGAACTACTTGAAGAACCACTGGAAGAATCACTGGCAACACCTGTATCTTCTTTTACATCTATAGTTTCAGCTAATGCTGCTAATTCTGGTTCTTTATCCCTGAGTACTTTTAACCATTTACGTGATAATTTTGGTCTTCCCCGTACCTACAATAAAATTAGTAGAACATATAAAATTATACATGTAAATTAAATGTATTTTTTTATATGTAAATTCTTACTGTTTTATGCCACACTATGGGAAAATTCGTACGGGAACAAAAATTTTGAGTGACTGCTATAGTTTCATCAAGATTTAAAACAACATGCCACCAACCACCAGGAACAAAAACAGTTTCACCAGGATTTTGTAAAATCTCTATTGGTAAACAATCTTGTGGCCAAGTAGGCAATTTTGTACGGGGATAAATAACAGAAAACCATGTAATAGCTTCATCTCGTTGTTTACCGCCTTCAGCTGCAGATACTTTAAGAAGTTCTCGCGGTGTATGTGTAGGAAATAAACACCATCGCTTATGTCCGGAAATCAGTGCATTCCAGGCACTCGTTCCTAATGGATCTATATGTATGCCTGTACCTGTATTCACATTACTTATTCATAATGTAGTCTAAAATAATTGTTTAGATAAAGCAGTTATTTAGTTAGGTATTTTTAAAAACACGTAACATCATTACTATAATTGTTTATCTGATTTTATGTAAATAATTAATATACTTACCAGACCTTGCAGGTCCCATAACAAACCAACGATATGGTGGTCTTCTATGTTCTCCCGCATATTGAAACAAGTCATCACGGAAATATTTAGGAATAACATAATCTTCTAGTAATTTTTTTCGTCTAGGATGTTCACCAAAGGAACTATCAAAGATGTACAAAGGTGAATCATCTTCATTATTAAGCATATAGCGTACATAATATTTCATCTTCATTTTTACACTATATCCTTCATTGTCTTCGCCACATTTAAATTTTTGATTTCTGTATTTTTTTATTAACCTCTATATTTTAGTAGAAAATTATTAACCATAAATATCAATATCATATTTTGTTATTTGTCATATTTAACATGTACCTCTATAGTCCACTTATGCTGGGCTTTCCAACCATTTTGAACACCTTGTATTATCACAGGTTTGTAAGGTTTTTCATATTTTTCTATAAATTCTTCTGTAGATACTTTAGATTCATCAATACGATCCACATTATCCATAAAATTCCAAAATGATTCAAATTTTTTATTGTAGCCATGTTGGATCCAAGCAGCCTTATCACCAAGTTCTAGAAGAAACATTTAATTATTGTAAAGAAAAGAATAAGAACAATGTTTAAAACAATGGGACGTCAATAATATAAAATAAAATATAGTATGTAAATAATGAAGATTTATTGTATTTGTATGTATTACTGATACTATGTAATGAAAGATATTTAATGCTTATACAATAATTAAAACAGTAAACTATTTATGAATAAGTGCATTATATTACATTGTTATCGTAATACTTTCAGTAAATTTGAAGTTACATCATCCAAGGTCGGCAAAGATAGTTCGGTCTTGTATCACATATCCAAATTCTGTTTATAACGACGAGCGTCACAAGAAGACAAACGGTGACTCAATTACTTCTAGTCATACTAGTAATATAAAATAATTCGTGAAGAATAATTGTTTGTTAAAAGTAATTTACGTCCATATCACGTCAACGTATAGGTTATAAAATTAGGTTATGACATGTTTACCTGGTCTTGCTTTCCTTTTAACCTCTTTGATCCTTTTTTTTGCACGGTGATCTAATTTCAGTTCATCCGTCATGGCTACACGTTTATTGTGTTACCTAATTAACCTAGTTTCAATATATTTACAATTTACTATCAAGAAATATACGCAACACGTCATTCAGTGGTAATCGTTCTTTTTAGTTCGCATGAACCCCGTAAGATGTATCAAAACATCGGTAAATATTCTCACAGGCACATGAAACATTAAGTACTATTTTCTTATTAATGTTTTATAAAATATATGGTATATTTATTTCGATATCATGTTACACAATTTTGTCAAATGAACATCCTCTGCCCTGCGCAACTTTGATTTTACTACATAATACAATGACCTTAAGTAGCGAAACTAAAGTTCTGTACATTATCTACAGAGGCGCTGGTTCTTGTCTACAAGACTGCCTACGTGACAAATACCATGTTCTACCAATAGGTCATACCATACTGTAAATGTGTAATTGCGCTTCTAGAAATATCGATATCTTTCATTCTTCAATATGCATGACCACGTACATAGATAGACTTCTTATTTAAAAAACGAAATAACTTTATATATACTAAAAAAAGAAACAAAAGTTTGTAAACATTATACATTACATGCTCTTGACATTTTAAACTTAATTTCATAAACAGAATTTTTCTAATACGTCGATCGTTATATTGTACTGTACAAAAGACGTACAACATAATTTTTTCTAATGGTTTAATCGATTTCATTAACAGGTTGAAATTCATATCTATTGTATTTGTTCTGTCACAAAGGTAAAATATACATGAAATGACATTGGAAGAGAATGTGGGATAATAACAACACAACAAGAAAGTTGTATCCGCGGTCGAAAGTTCAACGGTTCCCGAGACGCATGCGCAGTAAAGCGAGTTGGCGCGGAACACCCGGATGTGCTGCCGCACGAGCACGATACGGTAGAAGGAAGAGGCATGACGCCATGTTTTGATGTCGTCATCCCCCCCCAAACCGCTGTTTCTCGAGCAGAGCACAATAGTCTGACAGTGTTTTTTCTGTTGTGCGCCTCGTGTTCTGTGTTCCTTGGTGGCCGTTTTGGCGTGCTCCATTCGTCATCCCCATCGTCGCGTCAAATGTTGGATGCTTGCCTTCGAGGCTAACGATTGTTCCTGTGGGTTGACGGTCCCTGAAGGAGGCCCTTCGTGTCTTTTCATGTTCGGGGAAGTAACCGCGGAGCGGGGGGATCCGCGAGCGTCGTCTACGTAGTGGTAGTATCCTAGTGCGGGGAGGACGAGCGATCACGGTCCTCCACCGAACGATTAATTCAAGTGGTTACGTCACACAATCTTGAGCTGGGCTTTCGAAAGAAACGATTTACTAAAGAAGTGGACGGCGACGACGACGGGGACGAGGACGACGGCCCTGCTAAAATGGAGCTGCGCCTGCACTCGCCAGCCGGAGCAGAACCGATCGTCTATCAATGGCCCCTCACCTCCGGATCCGGATCTGTGAGTATTCAGTCAACTGTACACTTGAAATTATTCTATCTCTGGAAAATACCTAATATTGGTGCGAAATATATAGAGTGCTGCTATGTGATCTGTCGTTTAACACTCGTTCTCACAGCTGATCGTACATGTATTCGCACGACGCGAATTTCTCTCACCGTTATTTTGTCACGCTGTCACATTTATTTTATTCTAGAATCAGGAAACACTTAATTCTCAGATATATTCTCCGTATCGTATGATCATTAATAATTTGTTATGTACACGACCTTTAATTGATCGCTGTATGTTCTGTGTATACATAGAAGAAAAATAATGATTCTTTGGTATTTCCGAAAATGATGTTTTCTAAATTTATTTTATATAAATTATTTATTGACAATTGTTCTTTCTATCTATTATATATTTATTATTTATCTTATATCTTTTATAATTTTAGTATTATCGCGACTAAGAAGTATTTCTACTTGTTGTCTCTCTATTTGTTCAAATACCTTTGTATAAAAGTCATAAATCAAAGAATATTGATGTATTGCTGCAAGAAATGTCAAGAAATAGAAAGTTCTTTTTATGTCAGGCTATAAATTTTTATTATTATATAACTTATATTCTGTTCGCAATGTACAGAGTTTTGCAAAATATATTTAAGGTATACCCAAGATTAAATCTTACCTGTTGATTAAAAGATATTCACAATCGAACAATTTTTAAGCTACTAAATAATTTTAAAAAAGGAAAAAAAGAAATAATTTTATATAATGTTTAAAAACATTTATATGTTTAAATGAAATGGATTTTATTAACTAATTATAGGATCGTCACGATGGTGCACTTGATGTTGTTGAAACAATGAGATGGGTTTGCGAAGATTTGCCAGATTTGAAACTACCATTAGAAAATAACATTTTATGTGATTATGACACAAGAGATTATGAAAGTATGAAAAATTTGTGTGACAAATTTAATAGAGCAATTGATAGTTTAGTGCAACTGGTAAGTAAAATAATTAATTATATTTAAATCCATACTCTGTAATAATTTAGCATAATTTGACATAGGAGAAAGGTACCAGTTTACCATCTCAAAGATTGAATAAACGACCCAGTCGAGGTTTATTAAAACACATACTCCAGCAAACATATAATCAAGCAGTAGTGGAACCAGACAAATTAAATCAATATGAGCCATTTTCACCGGAGGTATATGGAGAAACAAGTTATGAACTTGTATGTCAAATGATTGATCAGATTGATGTAACAGAAGATGATGTTTTTGTTGATTTGGGATCTGGAGTTGGTCAAGTGGTTCTTCAAATGGCTGCAGCAACTTTATGCAAAATTTGCATTGGTGTTGAAAGAGCTGATGTACCATCAAGATATGCACAAGTATGTTATTTTTTAAATAAGTTTTAGAGACAGTACAGCTGTCTAACTAATATTGAATTATTATTTGTACAAGTTTCTTATTTCTGTCAAATATTAGAGTATGGAAGTAAACTTTCGCAAATGGTTAAATTGGTATGGAAAAAGATGCGGTGAATATCGTTTGGTAAAAGGCGATTTTTTAGCTGATGAACATCGTGAAAGCATTACTGGAGCTACGATAGTGTTTGTTAATAATTTTGCATTTGGTCCAACGGTGGATCATCAACTAAAAGAACGATTTGCTGACTTACGAGATGGAGCTCGGATTGTATCGTCAAAGTCATTTTGCCCTCTCAATTTTCGCATAACAGATAGAAATCTTAGTGGTAACATATTATATTTGTATAGAAAGTAAGACATTCATGGAATAAATTCATAAATGCTTTTTTTTTATTCACAGATATTGGTACAATAATGCATGTGTCGGAAATGTCACCACTAAAAGGTTCTGTCTCGTGGACTGGTAAACCAGTGTCTTATTATCTACACGTAATTGATCGTACCAAGTTAGAACGTTATTTCCATCGCTTAAAGAATAATAAACAAGGTGGCGATGAAAATTCTGATTCTGTGATAAATAACACTGCCAGCAATAGTAATAAGATTATAAATAGAGGAGAAAGAGGTGACAGAGCTAAACGAGATCTTTCAAGACAGCTAGAAAGTCCGAATCATTCGGAGCAACAAGGAACAAATAGCGATTCAGATCCAGATGAAAGTAATATTAAAAATCGTCGGCAACCAAATAAGATCCGCAGGAAGTTAAATAGGAAATCTAATGGTATAACTAGACCTCCTGCTAGAGGTAGACAAAGAGGGAGAGGAGTAAAGAAATCGAAGCCCAAGAAAACAATTAATATTTCTGGTTTAGACTTACTGCATAGTCAAACATTGCTTAGTACATCTCCACAAGCTTTGGGAAAGAAACCACCGCCCGCACCTGGTTGTGTGGATCAACAACTGTCCTCATTATCACTTTCATTACAGTCACACTCCACTTCTGTGCATGAAGAACTTAGTATACCACCTGCTCCGTCCGCAACTCCATATGCATTACAGATACTTTTGGACTTGTACAGGTATGTTTATTTTTTGTATGATGTATATATACTGTTTGTATGTACAATTTTTTATACAAATATATTTTTGTATGCAGGGACCAATTCATGCTTATGTTAGAATCGATGAGAACACCTTCGTACAGAATATCAGTTAATACAGATATTGCAAAAGAAAGAGAAAGAAATTCAAAATTACAATCAAGAGCGGCACAATTAGAGAAACAAATAAAAGTATTAATTGATGATAGCGTAGCACTTTTAAAAGCAAGAATGACCGAGTTAGGTATAAATGCGACATCGCCTGGAGATTTACTTGCAAAAGCTAAGGAAATTGTTCTTAGACATAAACAATTGCAAGCTAAAGCAAGTAAGCTACAGGCCCAGGTTGCATCTATGGAAAGTGAACAATCGAGATTAACTGCTCTTAGACATCAAGAATTACAAGAGAAGTATAGTAATCTCGCAAATACGAATGGTATATCAAATCCACCACAGCCACTTACTCAGGATTATATATTGAAAGAAATTTCTGCGACTTTATCTCAACGTAAACGATTACATTGTCAGGTTAATAGAATGTTTTTATTAGGATGGATAACATCGAAACCCAAAAAAGTTTCGGGTTTCGAGAATTCAAAACTTCGTACTTTTTTTGTGATTCGAAACTTTTAAAACTCAGATAAAAAAAAAGTATAAAATCAATAAATAAAGAATTATTTGCAGCGTGAATAAAGAATGTTTGATTCATGTGTATGTTGAATATTCAGTGCGAAATCTTTCGTGGACACGGTTTTTTAAGGATATTAGTAGATGTGCAATTGATCGTAATTCTAGAAAATGATAATATAAAATATATAAAAAAATTATAAGAAAAAAAAGATATCTTATATACTGAGATTTTTCAGTACATATAATCGATAAAAAAAGTAGATTAAATCTAGAAAAAGATCGGATATTTATGTTCTTAAACAAAAATTTGAATTAAATATTTTTGTATATTGTTATGTTTTTGTTTGTTTTAAGTTTCACTTAAAAACAAATAAAATAAAAAATTTATATAAAAGTGTTAATTCCAGTTTTTAAAATAAGAAATTCCTCTTATGAAATAAAATCAACGCTTCAAGTTTTGAGAGTTTCGAGAGTTTCGAGAGTTTCGAGTTTCAGATCCCTAGTTTTTATTATTATTGTTAATGATATAATTAAAACAAATATTTAAATATACAAAATGAATTCTAATAAATTTATAGGTATCCAAATTGGAACATGAACTAAATGTATTGGAAAGAGCAAGCAATGAAAAACAGGTTGCTGCGATAGCTCAGCAGCAAAGAGAAGTGTTAGGTTCTAAACATTCGCAAAGTCAACATCATCATCAGCAGCAAAATGGAAAAAGCGGATCATCGCGGAAAAATAGAGAAGGACGTTCTAGGTCGCAAGAATGGCCTGATGTTCCTGATATCGGAAAAATACAGGAGAATAATCCAGAAATATTAGCGCAAAAGATTTTGGAGACCGGCAGGCAAATAGAAGCTGGCCGAATATTAAACAGACAAAATAGTAGTACTAGTAGTAATTCTAGAACCCGACTGCCACAAGCATCTCTCAGTTTTTCTACTACTTCATCATCTATTTCATCCTCACAATCACAGATAAATAATAAAGAAGTAACGAATAGAACTCAGGAACCTCCAAGAGTAGCAAATTTCGAAGATAGGTTAAAGAGTATTATTACAAGTGTTTTAAACGAAGATCAACAAAATAGAAATAAACAACAACAAATGCAACTACAGGTGCAATTACAAAATCAGACTGAGCCAGATAGAAAACGTATTGCATTATCACAAAATGTTTCTACTCCTGATTATACACAGGTAACTTGATAACTTTGTCTAGTGTATAAATGCTTGTAATTTGAAATTACTTTGTATAGGTTTCACCTGCGAAGTTGGCACTACGTCGTCATCTTTCTCAGGAACGTCTTTCGTCTCATTTAACACCATCTGACAGGCCAACAATCGACTCGAGGCAATCGAGTCATGACAATCGTATCGCAACAGGAGGAAATGGACTACTTGGTACTAGAACGATTGGAGATTTAGTTAGTGGAGAAATAGAAAGAACGCTGGAAATATCTAATCAATCTATAATAAATGCAGCTGTTGATATGAGCGCAATGATAAGGCCAGAAACCGTATATTCTCCCATTAGTAGACCAGCTAGTGCAGAAGGTGATGCTGGTTTATCAACTTTAGCACACGTAGCAAGTTACGCTCCAACTTCCTCTGCAGTTTCAACTTGTACTCCTACCACAAGTTCAAGATCATCAGTGTTATTTACTCCAGTAACACAACCACAAAGGTATTATATTATTGTTATGTTAATAGTAATTGTATTCTTACATGTCAAAAGTTTCATTTTACAATTAATCTATCTTTCCGTATTTAGATATACACCAGTTCAGTTACCTCGTGCAGACATCAAACCTTATCATGAATCATATTTCTCTGACAATCCTTCTCAGTCGCTCACACAGGCCCATCCTCCATCGTCATTGCATACATCACAGGCTGCATCAAATGGCGAGCTTTTGCCAGTAGAAGGATTAGCTGCATCTTTGCATGCTCGCATATTAAATAATCACAACACAAAGACCGAGTCATTGTTGACTACGAATAGAAGGTATTGGAATTTCGTTTACATTTTTCTTTCTCTTTTTTCATGTTAAAATGATCTAACCTGTATTTCTCTTATAATAGATTTCAACCGTATCCTCGATATGCAACCAGTAGCAACAACAATGGCAGCGCAGTAACAAATGGTATCGTGACAGCTATTTGTCAATCACAATCAATGTCAGTAAAAACAGAGGCAGTTGTATCATCAGTAAGCACAAGCGGAGCGCCCTTGAGTCCTCTTGTAGAACCGCATTCTAATACGTCTACGCCGCTAGTCGATGAACCTCAAATGACAACGCAGAGGCAACGAAACGGTATTGGCGATGACGGTGAGCAGAATGTTTTATATTTTTATTTTATTTTTTACATTATGCATTCTATCAAAGTATTAGAGTAGAAAGTGCTTCGGAATGTATATATACAAGTTTTAAAATATGCTTTCTACACTGGCTGTAAGAAAAAGTATCAACACATTTAAAGTTTTAAAAGTTTTGAACTATGTACCAAATATCGCAAACTCTCTGATATTGTTATTTTTATTGTTATTTTTATTAATAAAATAAGTTGGTCATTATAATGCAACCATACTTAGCAATAAAAATTACCAACCCAGCAACAGAATAGAAGAAGATCTTTAAATTAATGGCAAATACATTTCACTTTTCGTTCTACTATTAATATTTTAATTTTATTATATACAAGGTGTATTTACTCTGCTCATCAATACTCTTTTATATCTTTACTTTACAGAATTTATACTCTAAATCCTTTGCTTTATCTTTTTTAATACACTATTATATTAATTTCTGCTATGCATCTTTTATTAGTTTTTTTTATGCACTAATGGTTTAAGATTATGGTTTACCTTATCTTATGGAGTTGGTACTTGATCTTTATTTATATTTATTTTTGTTGTTGTTTGCTGTATTTGTTAGATGCACTGTAGCTGTTTGTTGGTTAGATCTGTCTGTCACATACTCAATCTCACTCACAACCCTTGAAGCTTGTTTTATTAGAGATTGAGACACATTCAGAGGGAGAAATCAAAAAGTACGGCTGCCTGTGGGTTGGTTCGTGGTTGCTGGTGAGTTATCCCACAGGAGTTGTTCAAAATTCCTCTTTTTTTTTATTACAGTTATTACAGCCATTCGATAAAACACAGATTTAGATTCTTTTCATTTTTTATATTATACATGCTAAATATGTTACGTGTAAAATATAATACATTTTCCATGAAAATAAGCCAGACTCAAAAAATTTTTCCATAAATTACAGCCTACTTATGCATAACAAGGAATTTAAGAATAAATGGAGCATGTTAGATACGTAGAAATACTATATTTTTAGTTGATGGGTTTTTATAATTTTGGTGCATGCTTTTTTGCATGATTGGAATAATATAAAAAATGTGATTAATGTAGTGTTTTTTTCATTGAGTAGTTTTATGCATTGTACAAGAAAAGATGATGTGGATTTTACAAGGTACTGTACATGATACATAAATTTCACACATATTTTACTTTTTAATAAATGATATATTTGTATAATCAAAAAAGAAAAAAAAAACAAATGACATTTATTAACTACGTGATGAACATAATATTTACTTTACAATTTTTTCTCTCGTGAGGAGAGGAAAAATTGCTGTTACGCATACCCGTGCTAATGCAGGGCTCACTATAATGGTGTGAGGCCACTTACCCACTAAAAATTTTTCCTCTTTTTCCTTCATAGATGCACTTCCCTCTGGGATCGCAGTTGCACTCAGGGGGAAGGTATATTTTAATTATATTTCAAATGTACAGCTTCTTATTACTCTATCTTTAAAATAAAATTTACTATGATCAAATACAATACAGATAATATTTTATTACTAATAGGATTATTTTGTTGCACACTAATTATAATTTGATATACATGTGCATACAAAGAATGATGAAGTAACAATTACAAGTATATAAAGATATATTTTATTGTATAATTATCGAGAAGGCTTATTTTTATGAAAATACGTTGTTTTAGAGCGTATAAGCGATGCAGCATCTAAGTGGAATTCATTTTACAGACGGAGAAGCGGATTGGCAAGATCGCATCAGTTCCGGATTTGATAGACTAGTTGCGTTCGCATCGACAGAATTAGATAAGCGAAGAAGATCTACAGAGGGAGTAAACACGAGTCCTGATAGCGGTTTAGGATCAGATAGCACGGTAACGGGACCTCCGCCAGTGATACCATCGCCAGACGAAGCACTGGGACCTCCACGTACACCTTCACCGACCAGTCCTCGTCCACCGAATCCCTCCAATAGTAGCACGAGCAGTAACAGCAGTAGTAGCAGTAGCACATCTTCGGTGCCTCTAAAATATCAACGTCAACCGGATCCGGAACGGCATCATTTTAAGAAAAAGTTTTTTCATAGAGATTGGAGCAACTCTGGAAGTACCAGTAAGTTTCGTCCTAAAGGCAAGGATTGGGATTGGAATCATTCGGGACAGTGGTCTTCGAACGACGAATAATTTTAATCGACTTTTTATATGTATCTTGGAAAACGACTATATTAAGCTTCTTAATGGGTTCTTTCTTGTTAAGTTCACAGAATTAAGTTGATTGCAAAGCTACATTTTCTTGGTTACACACGCAATGGAACTCCATTTGTTGGAATGAAATTTTAGTTAGCACTAAATAACTGTACTCCTGCCAATTGATTCTATTTATACAAGCATGAATTCATTATTCGAGTGAAATCGTAGAGGAAAATTAGTGAATTTTTATTATATGAATCCTAGTTATATGAACTGTTTGCTCCTCCGTATATTCAGATAAATGGAGTTCCACTTGTTATTTCTTTTCATAGTAGAATGATTATCTTTCCTTTCTTTTCCTGCTCTTCGCAGTGTGGTGTTTAAAATAACTTTAAATTATTTCAAAATATGCAACGCGGCTACGAATCATAGTTTTCGTATATGATTTAAAATGTTTCTCTTTTTTTCGTTACTTGTTTTGTTTTGTACTAGAGAGAGAACAACATTCGAATAAAACGAATGGCGTTATAGTTTATTTTTACATAATTTGGACTTTGTATTTATTTGTATTTATTTAATGAAAATCTTGATTACAGGGCTAAACATACTGCGAAATTTTTTCAAAATGTATTTCGATTCTAAAATCTATTTAATATTTAGCTGTAAACACACGCGTATTTTAAAACGTGAAGGATGTCGAAAATTCTGTTATACATTACTCACTGATAAACATTTAAAATTAATGTTATTAGCTGCTACATTTTTTGATACAAAGAAAACAATAATTTAGGAGATAATCATTATGGATTTAATATATGAACATACGGTGAGAATGTGTTTGCCTTCATAAAATATATGCTAATACCATAGAGATTATATTCCTTTAAAAAAAAGAAGAGGAAAAATTAAACAATTTGTAAATGGACTCATCTATAATTATGGTACGTGATTATTGCATATAAAATGTAATAAGGTAAAAGAAAGTGCTGTGTAAAACATGTACCATATATTATGAGCGTTGTAGTTAATGAAACTAGCCGGCAAAACAGAAAGGGAAAAAGCTACCAAAACCTATGTGTGTTCGTAGCAAATATTCGCTGCATATTTTATGCGCAGCTCTGTGTCCCCCAATTATTTCCGGAGGATACAGTTATCGAAGTGTTCACTGTTGCTCATAAATGATATGACAACAGACAGCGAAGAATAGTCATTTCACTATCGGAAGCTAATTAATAAGTCTAATTAATAATTTATCTTTCTGTTTTCGTTTTGTTTCTGTTTTCTTTTTTTTTTTCTGGCACAAATTTACTCGTTGATTTGTAAGATTGTGCAGAATAATCCAAAGAATGATCTCTTCTACGAGAGAGTTTGAATTAAGAAATTTTCCCCAGCGGAGTTTAATCAGACTTAAAATAATCTCGCTGGTTTATACGAGATTCAATTTGTAAATAAAATACGGCGCGCTTTTTCAATAATGTGCGTCCACGTTATATAAAAGATTTTTTAGTCATTGTATCGTCAATATAGCGGAGAAAATTTGTAAAAAAGGAGAAAGCATGGAAGAGAGGTGATCGTCATCGATAAATATATAAAAGAAAGGAAGAAGAGGGCTAGGAAAAATTACTCGTCACTTTGTAATTAGTTATCCAATTATTTATCAATTTTACCTATTGATATGATATAATTAAACAACAATGTAGGCACCTGCCAAGTTTAGCAAGTTATATATACACTGCCGAAGATCTTCAATTAATTTTATTATTGATCATGATTATTATTTATTGTTTTTATTGAAATATTTTAATACTAAGGTTTTTGTAACAAGCATATTTTCTCTTTTATTTCTACCTTCCATTTAATATAATTCAGTAAAAGAAAGAAAGGAGAAGAAGATGAAGCACAAAACGAATTTTACAAACCATGATACAATGAAACTAATACCGATGTTATTATTGTTACCATTTTATTGAAGTAACAAGAGAAGAGAACAACATAGACATGGTAGACATATTTTTAAGCGTATATATATCCAAGAGAAAGAAATTTATTACGATGTTGCTTGATTATGTTGATTGTTATCTATGGAATAATACATACTTTTGCCGTAAACAAAAGAACAGGCTAGTACGTTTGTTAGGATAATTCATTGATTTGTTGCGTGAGCGAACAAGAAATGATCGTAACATGATTTTATAGAACCGAGAAGCAGATGTAAACAATATCTGTAGATATAATGCAACAAAGTACAAAGTTCTACCTGAACAGATTATATTTCATACAGTATCTGTTTTGTACATCGAGTAACCTAATGCATTGAAATATACCACATTTTTATCTTAATTTATTAAATTTTTAATCGTTCCATTAACAATGCTATCATCGCATTCATTGAAACGAAAAATTGTGTATATTCTGTACTAATCGCTTAATGTACACATGTATGTTACATAGAGTACGGTATTTGTGACAAAAGAAAAGATGAAAAAGTTATCAACTTCCTGTGAACTCCGTTTCCTCATGCACCTCGATAGGCATTAACATGGAACTCCTGCATTATTCTTACATAATTCATCGCCAAAATTTATAACGTCAATGACAATACGCAATACAGGTGCCAGCATGCACTTTGTATATTACTTTGCTTTTGCAAAAGATAAACGATATATACGGGTATTTCACAAACCCGTACACGTATATAAGAACAAGTTCGTTGCACTTTCCAAGCACTTGAACTTGAAATTTGTACAGTGCAGCATGGCCTTCGTATTAGAGACTGTTCTACTGTTTTTATTTCGACTAGCGTTCGCTCGAAACACGCAAGATATCGAAATTGTTTTATTGCCATTATGGAATGCAGAAGATAACGCGAAGGTAGCTATATTTATTGCAATATCCTTTTATTTTTATACAGACGAAAACATTGGAAAAAATCTCGAACATAGCTTTTCTAATAAATAAAATTATTCCATCGAGGTACAGTAAGTGAGTAATGGAAATTCGATTAGCAACAAACGTATTGAATTACTTTCTTCCTATGAATATAACATCATAACAAGTTACTTCATCAATGGATTACAGATTCCCCTGAGTTTCAAGGCTTTCGACCAGTCTGTCGAATTAGCATTGCACAGAAATGATAAGATCACAGCACCTCGATTTAAAGCCTGGAAACACAGCGATGCAGACAGTATGGAGGAACTGGCAGAGTTTGGTAAATCAGTTTCGTGCCATTACCTCCATCGAGATGATGTTAGTTCCGCGGCTGTGAGTATCTGCGGAGAACGCGGAGTGGTTAGTATCCAAAATTCAGGGAGACATCAGAAAGAAACGGGTATCTCGTAAAGCGAACTCTTTTTCTTCTTTTCTTTTTTTTTTTTTTTTTTTATCGCAGCATGGTCTCGTTTTCCTAAAGAACGTCACGTTAGAGATTCAGCCGCTTCAGAGCCAGGAGATCTCATTCATTGACGATCATTACGTACGACGACGTTCAGAAATATTTGGAGAGCCTCACATCGTCAAAAGAGCCCACAGCACTTTCGCGTTTTTCGCGGATGACGCGAATTATCACGCTCAGCCTCATAATTACATAACAGACGGAAACGAGGTCGGAGAACCGGTTGAGAACTTACCGGAAGATAACGTAAATCGTAACGATGCTTTGACGTTAGAATTGGCATTGTTCTTCGACGAGACTGGCTACAATCTCTTCTCTCCTTTTTTCGATGATAATTCCGACGGGAAGATTCTCGACATGCTGTTAGCCTACGTGAACGGCGTGCAGGCGATTTATCATCATCCAAGTTTAGGAATTGCGATCGACATTTCCCTGGTTAGGCTGGAGATCATGCAGAAACAGCCTCGCGATCTGCCGCATCATAACGGCGAACGAGGAAAGTTATTAGATTCCTTTTGCAATTACGCGGTGAAGAAGAATCCCGGCGATGAGTTCCATCCTAATCACTGGGACATGGGTCTGTACGTTTCTGGTCTGGATCTTTACGTTACGGAGACTGGACGAAAAAATAGTGCTACCATGGGACTGGCGGTAGTAGGTGGATTGTGCGTCGACCAATATTCTTGCGTTATTGCCGAATTAGGCGTGACGGATCAATTTGGCAAGCCTTTCCCATCGGCAGGGTTCACATCCGTGTACATAGCAGCGCATGAAATCGGTCACAAGTAAGTTTTTCTAACTAATTCTCTTTAATACTTTTTTTTTTACTTCTCCCCTCCTCTGGTTTTGTAAATCTCTTAACGGAAGCAGAGTTAAACGACAACCGTCTCTCTCTACGAAAGGATTACGACTGAATGAATCTTGAGTAACAAAGATTAATGACTCTTTCGTAAAAAGTTTAGGCATGCATCACGACTCGACTGGAAACGCGTGTCCAAAAGACGGCTACATAATGTCGCCCAGCAGGGGAACCAATGGCGAGACCATTTGGTCGGAATGTAGTCGGAACGTGGCTCAAAAGCTTCCGTATACGAAGCCTTGTCTCAAAGACAGGCCAGCAGGCTCACTTACAAATAATCTGGATCATACCAAGTTCTTCAATCTGCCAGGTAGGCAATGGACCGCCAAAATGCAGTGCGAATTATTCCTCCGTGACAAAGATGCCACTGTAGCCACGTACTACAATGTCTGTGAGTCTTTGCAATGCAAGACCGTGCACAGAAGCGGTTATTACTTCGCTGGACCTGCTTTGGATGGGACTTATTGCGCACCTGGCAAAGAGTGCCGCGGTGGCGAATGTAGCAACGCCTTGCAGATGTATCCCGGTTTCATTCAACCGGGAGGATGGAGCGAGTGGAAGACAGGACCCTGTAAAAGTGGATGTCTGTTGAGGTCGACCGGCGCTCAAACTAGGCAACGATACTGCGACAGGCCAACGCCGAAGAACACAGAAACCGGTTGCCAGGGATTGCACTACGACGTGCTCCTTTGCAGGGATGATAATCTGTGCAAGAAGAAACGCAAGAGCACGAGCGAGTTCGCGACACTGAGGTGCGAGGAGTTCAGCGAAAAATTGCCAGAATTGGACGCGAAGGGTGGCGGGCTGCAGGCGCCGCACGAAACCGAAAGGCCGTGGATGGCCTGCGCTATATTCTGTCGGCGAAAAGACATAGCATCTTATTACACGCCGCGCGTGGAATTAAACGACCTTGGCCTTGACCCATACTTTCCAGATGGCACATGGTGTCACGCCGAGGAGGGACAAAATTATTTTTGTCGCCAGCATCACTGCCTGCCGCAGAGCTTTCGTTTCGAGAAAACACTGTTAAATGACCGTCAGCGGAACGACGACTTCGAATTTGGGCCTCAAAACGCACATGCCGGCGGCCTTCGTCTTGACGATCAGATGATCAAGTATCTAAGCTTGGGCCCCGACGGATTGCCCCTTTTGACCTCTCTGTCGTACGGTATTGGGTTTCCGCCAGACGAGGACGAATGGATCGATAAAGATTACGTAGAGCTGGTGAAACCAACGGGGTGAGCTTTCTTCGAGTCGTCGCGTCGGATAAGAGCGCGAACTGTTTCCTCATTAATTTTGCACGAATACTTCACTAATACGATATTACTCTCCTTCTGAATTGTTGTTTATTTTATAATTATCTTTCCACTGACACCAATATTTCCATTTCATTCCGATAAATCATAAATCCCAAAGTCGTGTGAATTTATCGCGAATCCGTAACATGTGATCGATCAGACTGTAGTATCAAATTCAACTATTTTTTAACATGAAAGAATTTACGATTATTAATATTAAAAAATTTTTCCTGTCTTATCTTCTCATTATTGTTTTCTCTACTTCATGTACGAAGTATAAATAGAAAAGTACATATACATGCACGTATGAAAAATGAAGGGTGTAAACCTCATATGTGAATATATATATGTATGTGTGTGTGTGTGTGTGTGCATTCACACAGAAATTCACTGTTTCACTACACAGTTGTGTGTGAAAGTATCTCGGGAGATAGGACGATGACGTCACCTACTTCGCTGCTATTTTAAGAGTGTCCCGATGTTACATGCAGCGTAGGAGCGATCATGAGACAAAAGGACTGAATAAAAATACAAAATTGTGTCACTTAATTGTATCGATATTATTTTAGCGTACAAATAATTAATCAACCATTAAAATTAAGGAGACGCATTACATAAGAAAACAATCAGCTCGATATTACAAACAGTTCTTTATACACACATCTGCTTTCATATGACAAAATCTTCCACCAATCACTGTAAAATCAAAGAAAATCAATGAGCAACGTACAATTTTTGTTTGAATACATGAGTTTAATTTCTTTTGCTAATGTGTATGAAGGAATCAAACTATAATGTATAAATAATGAAAAACTAGCAAAGATAAATTACGACGATTTGAACACACAGTGACGGTAGCTCAATTTGTCATATTTCTGCAGATTTACCGCTCATACAAATCGAACACGCATCACGCATTTACATCAAAGAATACTTACAAATCCATCCACGCAAGCACACGCAGCGAACATAGCTCATTCACCTTAACTCTTTACATAATACATATGTACTTCAAATATACAGAATAAACAAAATTAAAGAAATCACATTCATACAGCCGGCATTTTAGCCGATCATATAACTTAATGTAACATATTCAATCAATAGTCATTATTTTAGGATCATTCTTCCCGCATGTAAAGCCAAAAATACATCTCATTGTTTCTATCAAAGCAATGATCTTTCGTTTTACCATTCCGAATTGTAACGAACATAAACTTCTCTAAATTCAAATCAGAAACCTGATTTTTCTTTACATTTGACTAATGGAAAAATCACATTTTCCTAGCTAGAAGATAAAATCATTATTTGCATCGCCTCAACAATTATTTTTTCACAGCTCTCTAACCACGTATTTATGTACTAGAACGTACACGAGTGTTTACCCTCGTCAATTGGGACGATTAGAGGACTGTCGTGATGGCAATTATCCATGCATTTTTTGTTTTTAATTTTGCATATTCAATTCGGCAAAGTATCGTACAGTATGTCCTTTGCACTTTGCGATAATGTTTCGGGAAATTTGATATCGAACGAGACCAGGAGATCACCTTTCCTTGATGGTTCTTTTGGGAATGGTAGGCCATGACCCTGAATCCTCCTAACCATATTGGGTTTTACGATTTCTCTTGTCAAATTTAAGTTGATTTTTTCGCCAGTAAGCGTAGGAACTTCAATGACAGTACCGCATAAAGCTTGTTTTAAGCTTAACTTGCAAGTGTATCTTATATCACTTCCCTCTCTTCTAAAGAGAGGATGTGGTTTGTCCCTGATGATGAAAACAATGTCTGCTGGAACCTTCCCGCGGCCTTGGTCACCTTCTTTTTGGAAAGTGATCTTAGTGCCAGCTTTCCATCCTGGCTTGACGTTAATTGTAAGAACTTTGTCTTCCTTTTTAGTAGTGCCATCAGGTTGTACAACTCGTTTGGAGATTTTCATTTTTTTTACACAACCACGTAGAATTTCTTCTAAACTGATGTAGAGATCGTGTTCAATAGCAGGATCTTGAGCACGATCCTTATTGCCACCTCTGCCAGAGTTAGATCCCACAAAGTTGAAAGAATGTGATCTGAAAGCTCCACCTTGACCACCTTGGCGTTGTGGCCCAACTCCCAGTCCAAGTGGATCATCTATGTCCATGTCATCATCGTGGAAAGCAAACAATCGGTTTCCTATAGAACCTCCTATAGGACCTCCAAACTCAAAGAAGGAAGTTTGGAAAGGACTAGCAGAACCAAAGAATTGAGCAAAGGTCGCTTTTGGATCTCCATGGAAAGTATACGTTGTTCCACCGCCACCGCCTCCTGCCGATCCAGCTCCTCCCTTTAATCCTTCCTCTCCAAAGGTGTCATAGACTTCCCTCTTTTTAGCATCAGAAAGCACCTCATAAGCTTCAGCTATTTCTTTGAACTTTTCCTCTGCTCCAGCACTCCTGTTTTTATCAGGATGATACTTTAAAGCTAACTTTCTGTATGCTTTTTTGATCTCATCGTCACTGGCACTTTTGTTTATGCCTAATATTTTATAATAATCTTTCCCCATTGGTCACTGATCTGCAACAATTTACATAAGAAGAAAATTGATATATTCATTATGTAGAAATGAAAATTATATTTTTTTAAATAAAAAATCAATTTATTTTCATTCTTTATCTATTTTATTTATTATTAAATTACATTTCAGCAATACTTTTTTTTATGGCATTCCTCTATATTATTGTAAGAATTTATTTTAGTCTACTTGAATTGTTTTATATCGAACTATATGTAAGTTTAAATTTTACGCGAATTACATTGTTACACACAGTGCGAATATTACACACATAACAATGTATGGTCCAAGCGAAATGTTACACCACGTTGTAAAACACGTTTTTTGAGGATCTGTGTAATATTCTATGTCGATGATTTGGAAAACGGTCAACGCAACGTGACCATAAAAGTGCGGCTCTTTCTGATATTTCAAGTACGATTTCGACGTCATGCAAAACAAAGAGCTGTTTTCATCTTTTACAAATCACATTAGCAAGATATAAAAAATACTTTTTTTTTGTTACATACAATGGTTTCAAGTCCTTAATCTTAATTTTTTACTTACACAACTTTATATAATTTTACGAAAGATTATCGATTTAGGAGCAACAAAGTAAGTGTCTACAAAAATCTTGAATTCTCTAGTGAAATCTTTTGCAACCAAGCCTCATGTTGGAGTGCGAATGTTAATATCGTATGACGTATGGATTTTGCAGTCAGGAAAATTAATTCTGAGAAGGCTACATAATTTCCCAAAATTTGAACGTGATCTAGAAAATTAGATCGCGTTCGACATCGAATGAAGTTCTTGAAAGTACGAAAGAGTAAAACATGCTACGTTGCTCCTGCATTCGGAGGACAGAGACAGAACAATGGCACATAGACACCAAATGCGATAGTGCCAATGATCTGCCATTTTTTTCGTATATTCTCGACAAAAGAAGTATGGATGTCTCTCTAACGTACACCCACGTACATGTTTCACCGATATCTATTTCTGGCAATGATGAGCGCGTACAAGCGACGAACGTGTTCGCTTCTACAAACGTGCAACAATTTCGAGCAGCGTAAAAATAAATTCTACCGTATCCACGCGATGGCTGTCCTAATCTTCATATTTAAGCGTTTTGCCTACCATGAAATTATACGACAAATATATTCTCGAACGTCTTTCCACCGCTGCTCGCCCATTTTTTCCCTTTCTCGCAAACATCTGACAGAATCCGAGGATTACCTACGGGAGTATTTATTGTTCACAATTCGACACTTACCGTTGTTCTTTCTATCGCTCGATGGATTAGAAAATCCGATTGGCACTGAATTCACTTGTGATTTATTGAAAATGTTACGCAAATCGACGAAATATTTGTTTCTGACAGATTGCTTGAAACAACATTTAACACCTCTCTTCACGTACTAAAGTGTCGCGTAAGCCGTGCGGTCCATATATACAAACTTTCGTTCTAGTGGCTTCCGGAACTTTCGAGAATGGGTCGTCGGCAGTTCCGTAGCACTTATTCAATGACGTCAGTAACCCCCACTCCTCGTTATAGATCGAAAACGTGACCGAGAATCGTGCCCGGGCTTTATGAAACGTAATATTGTTACTACAGTAAATAAACAATATACTAAATAAATAATATATATTTTTGCTAAATATTCACAAAGTAGTTGATATTTCTTTCCAAAATAACGAGAATTTTGCTCATTTAATGTTACCATACGAAAATAAATAACAGAAATTGTTATTACAATCTGAACTTAGCCAAGTGTACTATTCATATAATTCGATGAATTTGGTGTTAAGAATTTTACGCATACATAATACCATGTTCATGAAGGCATTTAAATATTATGCGATCTCGAATAGATTTTTCTATTTGATAAAATATCGACAACCATTTCATTACTCTCGTCAGTTGTTAAATTCTAACATCATTATGCAGGATATGACAATCATTCAGTTGAAATTTATTTTTCAAGGAAAAAAATTAAATAAATATAATCAAGGTTGTTTTTTTGTCGTTAATAGATCATGGCCATTTGTATAAATTGCATTTTACTTTCTTTTTTCAGATCTATAAGAATCGTATTGCGTTATCATATATTAAAATAAATATTTTAATAATTTTTTAGATAAATTTATTAACATTGCATTCTATAAAAATCAAAAGTATTTCTTTGTGCGTAACAAATGTACATTATATATATAATAATAAAAATTGACTTAACTAATATTATGTACATGTATATTTCATACGTACATAATAAATGCATTATTTTAATATCTTTATCTACTCAGTCGTAAGAACAGCGCATGTCTACATTCTCGTGAATTCGGTGGCATATATTTGTCATAAAAATCTTGAACAAATTCTTCCACTTTGAAACCAAATTTCTGATATAAAATTAATGCTGGATTGGTGGCTGAAACGTGTAACGTAACATCTTTGCCCATACACGTTTGAATTAGATGATAAAGCATAAATGTTCCTATACCAGATCTACGCCACTCGGGGCGAGTTAAAAAAAAAGATATGTATGCTTCATTGTAACCAACATCGGGAACTAAAATTGCAAATCCTATGACTAATTTTTTGTACAGAACCACACAGCTAAAGTCAGGGTATTGCAAACATTCTGTCACTAGAAAAATAAAATTTTCTTTTGAAACACAAATACAAATATATGTTGAGTTATATATTTAGAAAATGTAAAAATAATTATAGATGACTTTACATTGAATTATTACGTAATTGTTATATTTACTTACAATCAATACCTGGCCAAAAAAATTGGCTACACAGACTATTAATCGCAGGAATGTGCTGCGGTCTC